AAGCTTTATATAATCTATTAATTACTATTTAAGCTATTAAATTTTTAGAAACTAATATAAAGGTACTTAATAAGTATATTTAATAGTAAATTGAGAATATTACTAGAGAACTGAGATTTATAAAGCTAGTAAGAGAGTTCTTATATTTAATTATTTTTATAAATACTTTATTTGCAAATAATAGAGATCTCTTCTCCTAAATTAGATATATTTTAGTTCTAGTAAATAGAACTAGATATACTAATATTATTTACTAGTTCTCTATTAAATATAAGAGAATTACTAGAAGTATTCTAGTTTTAGAACTTTATAGTATGGCTTATAGTTTTAATATGGGTGCTTTAGTTAAATCTATAATTAATAAAGTACTAGAAATAGAACTATTACTAGTCGTTTATACGGATTTAAAGTCGTTATACGAATACCTTATTAAATTAGGTACTACTCGAGAGAAATACCTAATAATTAATATAATATATCTGTGCCAGATATATAAATAATAAGAAATTATAGAAGTCAAGTAAATTAAAGGAAAATCGAATCCTGCTAATTCTATAATAAAATTAAAGCTAATAAATGCCCTCAAGTACCTAATTAATATGAATACTATATAATTAGATATAGAGAAATAGGTCGAGTATAAATAGGGCAGAAAATAGATATATGAGATAAGAGGATATTATGGAATAGGAAGTTATATATAAAAGGCTATGGCCTTTGGTATATAACTAAAACCTTAGAAGTAATATAAATATATAGAGCGTTTGGGAAATCTGGTACTAGGCCGGATTAGGGAATTTGTATATAATTAAAAAGAGATACTATTTTTCGCGTTTTTAGAGAGTTTCTAGTATTAGTATAGCTATTTCTTTAGGAGTTACGTATATAGTTACGGGATATAGGATACGGGATATGGGTAATAAGATATGAGTAATAGGATATGGGATACGGGATATAATTATGTAATCTCGTATCCTATTAGTAACTTGACTAGTAGACTAGATCCCTTTAGGCTTAGTAGATTTAGGGATTATATATTAATACTATAATACTATAATTCTTACTTCTAAATAATAACTTTACTAACTATATATAAATAGTATTCTATAATTTATATAATAGTGCCATATATTACTAGTAAACTAATACTAAAGAATTAGTACTTTTATTTTTTACTTATATAGTTTATTAAATTAGTATTTCGAAAACTATAGTATTTTATTAAGGCTTCTAGTTTATATTAGATTTCTAAAATAAGTTCTATAAATATATTAATATAAAGCTTAAATTATTAATTACTAATAATTTTTAAACTAATAGCTAAATAGAAATTATTAATTAATATTTTAATTAATAGCTATATTTCTATATAAATTATTATTAAAATAATTAAAACAAATAAGTAATAATAATTAATTACTAGTAAATAGTTCTAGTTTATAAAACTATAGGCTAATTTCTATTCTTTATAGAAAAGAGCTATAAATTACAAATATTATTTAATTAGGAAATTTAAATATAATTAAATATTTCAAAAAAAAAACCTAAATAAGTAAGAAGTAAAGGCCCTAATAATATAGTTCTATAAATTATAATAAAGAATATAAGGAAATATAATATAAGTATAAAAGTATTATATTATTTGAACTAATAAATATTACTAACTAGTAGATTTCTAAATAAGAAATAAGATATAAATTATTACTAAATACTAGAGAAATAATTATTCGAGCTATAAGCTAGTTTACTAAATAGAAGAACTATATAAAATCCTAAAATAAATAAAATATTTCTTTAAACTCAAGCTTTCGAAATTAATAAAAATATATTTTATATTTTATATAAAGAAGCTATATAAAAACTCAAATAATTCTCTTTTTAAATAAGTAAATCCGGAGCCTCTATTATTAAAACTATAAAACAGAGAAATAAAATATAAAGTTTAAAAGATATTAGTAATAAAGTTATTTTATAGGAAGTTCAAATACCGAATTTAGTAAAAAAAATAAGACTTAGATCTAAAATAATATCCTGTATTCTTATTAAATAATAATACTTTAGCTCTTTAGAGTTTTTATAATAAGAACTTTAAATAACTAAAACTACCCTAGAACTTTTATTATTAGTTAGACTATATTAAGAATAATATACTACTAGAATTATATAATATAAATAAAATCCTATAATTCATATATAAAAGACCTCTGGTTTTTAATATATAACTTATAACTTGAGAATTTAATAGAAATCTTTAAAGCTCCGGAATAAGCTTATTTTAAAAAAGGGAATAATATTACGATTATTATAATATATAATACTAATAGAGATTAGACTAGAACTAGCTAGGTATATAAAGTCGAAATCGGGAAGTATAAGTCAAGGTTACGTGCCACGGCTTTGCTTAGGCTAGTATATGGGCCCGTATATAACTCGCAATTATTTAGATCCGAGGCTTCTTTAAGATCCTCTTCTCTTTTTTAGCTTTAAATTATTGAAATAGAAATAGTCTAATTATATTTTCTAGGTCCTAGATCTTATACTTATAATAAATATATTAATAATTTTAAATATTAGTTTTTAAAATTAAGTTTTTAATATTTATATTATTTTATATTAATCTTAATATTTTAGAACTTATTTATAATAAACAAATTCCTAGTTATTTAATAATTATTATAGTTTCGGTTTTATATTTTAATTATTTAATAAATATATATATATAATAAAGCTATATAATTATAAGAATATATATGAAATATATATAAAAAATTCAAATTATTAAATCTAATATAAGCTAATATATTACGAGATATATATTTATACTTTTATAACCTCTTATATTATAGCCTTTTCTTTTTTAGCTTTAAATTATTTTTATAAGAAATCTTTTACTTTACTTTTTAAGCTCTAAATATTATATTTATAATAATTCAAGTATTATTTTATATATTAAAAAACTATTATAAGTATTATATATATCTTATATTTTAATTATATAAATATATTATTATAATTTATTTATTATATTTTTAAATTTAATTTAATATTAAATTCGAGCTTATTATTACTTAAATTACTTCTAATAATATTAATTAATAAAAGTAATTTCTTTTTATAAAAAAGTTAATATAAAGTATATATTTTTTTAATAAAAATTACTTGAATTAATACTAAAAATAATTATATATATAAATTAAATTATTTAAGATTTTAATTAGTTTTTATTTTAAAAATACTAAATTATAATTATTAAATTAAATAATATTAAAATAATTAATTCTTAAATATTATATATAAAATTATTTATAAAGTACTTAATACTTTTAATGTTTTATAAAATATATAATAAAATAACTTAATATAAATATTATTATATTTTTTAAAATTATAAAAAACGCTTTTAATTTATATTTTACTTTAATAATTATATTTATACTTATTTTAAAATTAAGAAATAATTTTTTTTATAATCTATTTATAATATATTATTACGATAAGGTGATATTGCAGTAGTGGTAAAGAGCTTGAATTGAGCTAAAGGCTGTGTGCCGGGCTAAAAGCACTGGCTACACGCTAAGTCACGTGCAGTGGCACCACGTGACTGGTGCCACGTAACATATATATTTTAAATAAAAAGGCTTAATAAATAATTCAAGAGTTTTAATTAATAAAATAATAAAAAAAAGCTTTTAAATACTTAATAATAAATATTATTTTAATAATATATATTATTTAAAAAGTTCTTATTATAATATAGCTTTTTAATATATATTATATATTTATAATTTCAATTTATTTAATTAATTTTACTTTTATTATTTTCTTATTTTCTTAATTTAATTTCTTTTAATATTATAATATTTAACTTTTACTTATTTTATTATATTAACTTTTTTATATTTCTAGTTTTTGAGCTACTTGTAATATTTTAAAATTAATTCAAAATTCTATTTTTTTAAACTTGAAATAGTCTTAATTTTTTATTCTTAAATAATATTATAACTTTAGTCTTTTTCATATTTATTACCTTAGTTCTTATTAAAGTAATTATAAGATTTCTCTCTTAATTATTTCTTTATTTTTCTTTATTTTACTTCTATTTTACTTTTTAAAAAATTAATTAAGTTTCTTAAAAGTTTATTTATTAAAATAAAATTAATTGTTTTTAAAGAAGTTTTATTTTCTTTTTACTTAATATAAATATATTTTAAAAATTACTCTCTTTGTAAGTTTAGCTTGCAACTCTGTTTTAGTTATAATTAGTCCTTAGCTTTTGAGTATCTAGATGTTGAAGCCTTAATTAAAGTATAATATGTGTTCTACAAGTCAATAATCAAAGTTGCGATCGACTCCTTAGCACAAGTGTTGGCATGAGATAAGGGCAAGATGAGTCTAGAGAGCGGATTCGATTGTATTTTCTGAATAACAGCATTGCCACCAACGATTCAAACGAGACAAAAGAGATTCGTTTCATGCCTATATATCTGCTTCTCCACCTACCTCTCACCTACTTCCAATCACTCCTCGACGTCATTGGCGACCCCAGTCACTGCCCAATGGCGTATAGAGGCTAGAATTGGGCAAAGGCCGACATACCAATTGCGAGAGGCGATTTATGGTGCGATGGGTGCCATTGGATTCGGGGTCGGATGCGCGGTCCCGACGTGATGGGTTGCTCTGCTGGGTGGTCTGGGAGGTCGCGGAGACATCGCCAACTGCGAACCTGCTTCTGCTCCCCAGTCCTGTTTCGAAGCGAAGCCCTGCTAAAGAGTAGCAGATCCTGATGCTAGAGAAGCCGGAGAAGTTGCTTCAAGTTGTGTCTGAACATCCTCAAACCCTGGGTTTGGGATTCTCAGCATCGTAACTGTGCTAACGAGCCTACCGGAGAAAGTCCGTGTTTTTAGGGCATCTCGCTAAGAAAAGCTTACTGAAGAGAACTTTGGAATTTTTAATTTATATCGTAATAATTTTAAATAGGGTCTTAAAACTCGATTTAGCTTCTCTTATTTTATACACTCGAGTTTAAAAGTAATATGTATTATAGTTATTAAATAATTGCGAAGTAAAAGTTATTGACCTGGCTTTCGCGAGGCCTGAAAACATGCTAAACACACGGACTTTCTCGGGTAGGCTCGTAACGTGGTGAAGTGCCTTCAGCAGACATTCTGTTTGCGTTGTTTCTGTCTTCTGAAGAGCCAATTATTCCATCTCTTCTTCTTCTCATTCTGCAAAGAAAAAGTACTCTCGGTGAGCATCCACCATGAGCCCAGCACCACTACTGTCATTACTACAGCCACGATACAGAAAATCCATATGCGCCCTGCAACACGAATCTCAGGTGGGGATTGACTGGTGTCGAGGCCAAAGAATTGGCTGCCACATATGGCGGCAACCGATGTTGCTGGCAGGAAGAACATAGTTACGATTGCAATTGCCCTCATCGTCATGCTATCTTTGAGCATCACACTATTGTCTTGCTGGGCGACCAGATTGAAAGACTACCGAGGCCAGTCAGCCATTTTACGCAATACGAGCCTCCCTCTAAGAAGTTTTACTTACAAGGTTGAGGACGTTCTGAGTTCTTTTGTCCAAACTGTCAAGGCGCAGGCTCACTGACTTGAACAGTCCTCGTTTATGGTTCAGTCGGGCTTTTGTCTTGACCGCTTCGTCAGAATTAAATAGTCGATTATGTTCAGTGATCAAATCTTCTATCGCGAGGTCAATAGCTTTGAATGCCTCTTTCAGGTAGATGCAGTACTTCGCGACATTGTGCAGACCTGCGAAGTCTCGCTTTGACCTCGAAGTCGAGTAGGAGGTCTGATCTGCTTCTATGAACGCTTTCTAGGCATAGTCAACTAGTTTTCACGTTGTCTTGAAAGTCCTGCGTACATGTTCAATGCCACGAAATACATCGGACAGGTTCCAAACCTGCTTATCCATCTCCTGGAATAGCTCGTCGAGGACGATCACAAAAAGCTGAAAGGGGTCTATATCCATTCTCCAAGTGGGGCCGTTTGGAACTCTTCCGAACCGGTTCTTCATAGCTTGTGACGCACCAAAACAGAGGAGAGTCACTGGGTTTATCAATGTCCCGTTCGGTGTTCTCTTCTTGGGTGGGCCCCATTTTAGGAAAAACCCAGCACGCAACCAGGTCCAGTTTTGCTGGCTTAATTTGTGGAGTTCTATCTCTTTATCTGGGTGATGGTCGGTAATTTGTGGGAACTCCTCATCCCCATTGCTCCCATCTTCGATGTCGACGCTTTTGCAGAGGAAATGGAGCCAACATGCTTGTAAGGTCAGCTTCATATCTACAGAGCCCATTTACGCTGTATTACGAACCATTTGAGCCATCTTTGTATGTGCGACTGCCACTTCCCAAGCAGGCGCTATGCAATCTCTCTTCAAGAAAATCTGGAGGTACATCGTATCTCTCCAAGAGAGTGTGATTTATCCGCTGCCACTGGAGGGCGTAGGCACGGTCGTTTTCGCCGGCTAAGGTCTCTAGGCCAAGGTCGAGAGGTGCAAATCTGAAGCTCTTGTTAGTACTTGAGCGGTCGGTAGCAGGATGAAAATATTTGGGTCTAAATAGAGAGCAGGCGATTCACATAATTCTTATTTCAGGCGGAGGACCTCTTATTAACCCAGTAACTAATGTATTTTGTAGTGGATTTCCAGCATTTTCTGTATCTACAAATTAAGTTCAGGTTCGCCGACGACTTGGTTTACACAGGGAATATACCTGATGGCCAGTCTATATAGTCAACTGTCTCATTCGAAATGACACCGGCTCCAGAGTCATGGAAAGCAGAGAACAGAATATTGTTGTCGCAAAAAGACATAGTGTTAAGGATGCATGTCGCGGTTGGGATCCGGAGGCTCTGTAGAGAAGTCAGGTAATTCGCGATCCATCTCATAGGATCCAGACCTCGAATATACAAGCGGTTCTTCGTAAAAGTGGTGTTATGGCTTTCATTTCCACTTAAGGTTACTTTGCTTTGTCAATCTCGCTTCTGAGACCCGAACTCAATGAGCAATTGGCCCAAAATAGCTGAAGCAGGAAGTTTCAATAGTGATTGCTGCACAGAAAACGCCACGGCTGAAACTTTGGAGGGAGCGCATGACAAGTTTCGCGCGGGAACTTCCGCCCCCCATGCGTTCCTGATAAATGCTAGGCTTGGTTCTACCTCGATTCATCCCTTTATAGGACTTTATACGAACACGCTATAAATAGGCTTTTGAGGCTGACTCTTGGAAGCCAGAAGAACGGGTTGTCTGCCTACCGGATAGCCTGTGATAGGTGAGCTCTTCTTGGCAGGCGCGGGAGGTGGATATTCGATTCCAAAAAAGTAAATATTCTGGACCGGAAGACAGCTAAGAGGCAAGGGGGAAAAGAAGCCAGCCTATAGAAGGCTCGGCGTGAGTCACTGAGGCTGAAAACAAATCACAATGGGGAAGAGTGGTGTGACTGCCATAGATGAAGATCGAAGTGCTCTGATATCGAGGTTGCCTTGAATTAACGACGGGCTGAATGGTGTGACAAGTAGGGATGGCAAAATTACGTATTTTAGGACTTAAATACGAAATATCGTAATATAATCCTCTAGGCTTGATTATACTGATATTATTTCCTTACTAAGCTTAGACATGGGGTTCGAGCCAATGGGAGCTCCGAGAAAGCATATCAGAATTTATGCCTTAAATTATGCTCTGTTTATACTTAACTTATACCAAATTTATGCATAACTTATGCTAGAGAATACATAATTTTATCCAGTCTCTTATGTAATACGTAATTGACGACTTGATTATTATATAATTACGCTGGACTTGATTATTACGTATCATACGTAATTACAAATCACCCATCCCTAGTGACGAGAGAGGGCGCCAACTTGGTATTGGGCTGAAATACCACGCCCTCCCCTCAGGTCTGGTACCAACATTTGCTATCAAATTCTGTCCCTGTTGGTCTACCGCTCAGAAAGCCCATCAGAGAGTGGTCCTCATTAAAGTAGTTAGGCTTGAGGAATATCACAATGGTAACTAGCATCTCTCTATTGACTAGCAAGCTCAGGTGCTGACTAATCTCCTAGTTGGAACCACAGCCTCACCTGGAGCCATACGAGGTTCAGATAATTGCTCAGCAGGAAGAAGGACGTGCGGTGAGAGACTATACTCGAGAGTAGATTATATGAGATAGTACTAACCAGTAACAAGATATACGGTGCATCGCAAGCTTCAAAAGGTAAGAATAGCAACACACAGATGCAAGGTGCTTCGAACGATGCTCGAGGAAATGGTTACGCTCCTCGAAAGGCTCATGGGGGATCCTTCGACCCAAGTCAGATCCCAGCGCAAAAGAGTCGCCAGGACGCTCCATTGCCACCAACTCAGGCTTCATACATTTCCTCTCCGATGCAAAGCGGGGCAGTTAGTTATGGCACCTCCAGTACCGTCTCTTCGGAGAACTCGTCCCCATCGAGGACTCCCGTTGGTCCCATCGGCCCAAAGCGGCATGGAGGTCGTTTTGTCCCAGGTCAAACCCGACCAGTCGTTGCTTCAGGGAATGTTCATGGAGCTGGAAGCGTCCAAAGCAGTGGCCATAGCAGTCCTGCTTCCTATCCTCCCGGGCCAGCACAGACTCCGGTGGATAACACTGGACTGCCTAGTGGTCTTAGCCAGCATGGGGCAAACCAATCTGCACAAGGAGGCACTTATCGACCACTTGCTAATGGAGGTCAATAAAATCCAGGGTCTCCAATCCAACAAGCTTACTATCCACCCCCTCAGCTACCGGTTCAGGTATACAGCGAGGGGCCTCAGGTATGAAACCTTTGCCTTGACATACAGACCTCTGCTAACATAAAGCTAGCCTTCTGCACCTCCGCCTCAGCAGAATGGAGTTAGACCGGTAGATAAGCTCCGTCGTATTTTTGGCCGTTAGGATGATGACAGATTTGTAGGCGCCTCTGAAATTCGGGGAGAGATCAGGCATCGCAGATACTGCCGTCACACAAAACAATGTTTGTAGCAGAGCAATACAAAATCCCTCTAGAAAACAAAACATGCTCTGACGATATTGCTGTAGAATGCCCGTCGAACCTACCAATTGGGCTACGCAAATGCCTTGAACCATGACGGGAGGCTCAGATGGAAGTATCCTAATATATACCAGATGCCCGGTCGTTTCTTCGCTGAGCTCACTCGAAATCGCCATCGTGATATAATGCAGAGAGTCTGGAACGGACCAGAGGAAGATAGATATTTGAGTCCATATGATGGCCATTTAGCCAAGCTTGTGGTCCAAGTGACTCAGGATGTCTACAGTAGTGAGCAGAACTCAACATGGCGACGAACATTCATCAGGAATACCAGTCCATCTTATATAAATGTTGCCAACTTTCCATTCTCAACTCTTCCACCTGATATGAATGATTGGGATGGAGCCCATTGGGCCACGCTGGCTTGGAAATGGATTCCTGCGTGTTGTGCGCTTATCTGCGTGGTAAGTTGAAATACCTTACCAAGCTCTACTACCGTTACTCATTATCAACAGCTAGCATACCAACCCAATGCCGCTGAAGGGCAGGTCAGAAATCAAGGCTTCTACGACCCATTCCCCTACCGATATTGGGGCTACCCAAAGGTCGCTAGAAACCAGTTGGAGGGTCCGAATCCCCGCTCTGGTGAACAGGCAAGTTCTTCCCTGCTTGAGCGGTCTCTGGGGCCCAAGTATTTGTGCTTTCTCAACAAGCCACATGAGCGAGAGATGAACGGGGTCTCTATGCGAGAAGTTGACCAGGCACATGCTGATACCGAGTACCTCTTCATCGGCTACACAACCGAGCAATTCGACAACGATTCTTACGAAGATATGAACGACCTCCACGCCATCGCTGAGCGAGCAGCTAGAGAAGCCCAGATCCCTGCATTCTGGGTTGCTGGAAGCTGCATGGGTAGCGATGAGGAAGTAGAAGATGCTATCTATCGCATCAGCGACGTGATGCGCGGTGCTCATTCTCTCGTCATCGCCATTGGTCCCTCTCCCAAAAGGCCAGAAATGAATACTAGAGAAGAGATGCTGAAGATGTGGGGAAAGCGTATGTGGACATTGCCTGAAGCTTTGCTCAGCAGTGCGGACCATCCCATCAAAGTCTACACCAGAGGACACACCGGCGATTCTTGGAATGTGTCTAAGAAACACTTCGCAGCTGTTGTGTGGCACGATCCACTGATCTCTAGACAGCTGGTCGATCACTACAATAAGACGTTAGACTTGAGTCGTTTGGAACTCGTTTCTATCGCTCTCAATTGTCTGACCAAAAGACAGACAACACGCTACTTCGACGGAGACTTGTCATATGCTCTCATGGGCCTCTTGAGACAGCGCCCCAAAGTCGATAGAACAGATTCGACGTTTCAAGCCTTTGCTCGACTTTCTATGGCGAACGACAGCGATATGCTACTTGAGCGACTCGTCTGCATGCTACCCAACGATCCAAATGGCCACTGGCTTGCCATGGACGATACCTGGAACAGTAGTCTGTGGGATATCTATCCAACTTGTCAAGTTGCTGGCATGGGTCCAGGCGATACAGTCATTTTGGATGGAGCATTCGGCGCAGCAATCCGATGGAAGGCATTTGCCCCCGTGGCGTACCTCACCCGAGGTTCATGGAAGAGATCCGCTTCTCGCACTCTGCTACACGCCTCACCAGTCTATTTCTTAACCGGAGCGGTCTTTGCTTCCTATGCCAAATTTAGTCCGATCTACGGCGCTATCGGGGTAATCTTGCTTGTCATCAGCTTGCTAGTCATCCTCGCCTCACCGTACTTAATCCGTCTCATTTACGGCGGTAAGCTCTGGGGAGCCCAAGCCTGGTTCTTCGGCTTTGAAGGCTATCTCGATCTCGCGACCATCGAATCCAGTATATATGGCTCCTACAACGGTCGTCTCAAGTGGGCCGCATCAGGCAGCACACTCTCACGCCACCAGCAGAACCCAGACGGCGAATGTGTAGGCTTTGATCCCACAGCCGACCCCACTGTTCGAGATATGTTGGAGCAGGCCAAAACTCCTGGATTTGGAGGAAGGAAGGTGTTCACGCTAGTCGATACGTATACTTCGACGGTGACGATGTTCACGGCTGTGAGACCGCCTGTTGCTGCGATTTTGTGTGGCAGGGAGGGAGGCATGCAGAGAGCGGTGTTGTGCTCTTATGATTGGAAGACGCAGACGCTGTATAGGGAGACGGTACTACGGATGGAGACACCGGTGTTGGAGAGGATGTTTAGGGTTCATAAGTTTAGGTTTGGGTTTCAGAGACCGGTGGCCAATGTTCGCTGAACTTGAGTGTTTTGAAGATGATGTAGGGGTTTCCGGCTTTGGTGAATGGAGTTTGCAGCTTTTCGGCAAAGCATACGAGGCAGGTAATAAGCTAGGGATTTCTTATTTTTTTCTCCTTCGAGACTAATCGCTATATATTTCTAACACAACCTTCTCACTTTCGAGCCACTTTGTGCCATCAGAGCTCTTAAAGCAAAAGCATCGTCAACGCATTCTCGCATCATATTCGCCAACCATCCCGGTGTTCTTGTTTGTATAAATGTGTAGAGGAAGGAGGAACTCCCCCTCATCAATGTGTCTTAGAACTTTAGCTCGAGAATGATTATGTGGTAATGAATAGCATTTGCTTCGCCCTCTAATTTATGCTAAAGTTTTAATTTTGCCTACCATTTGGATATGCTACCTTAGTGCTTGAAACTTGTTTGATCGATGTGCAAGTCCTTGGCCCCAAATAGGTATGTTACAATGTCCCCCCAACCAGCCCAAGGTCTTAGCATCGCCTCAATTAGTGACAAATCCGGCGAGAACGGTGGCCAGAAAATAAGCCTCACATTCCAGCTCTTTAAGAGAGTAAGTGTCTCCGCTGCCTTGTGCCCTACTCCACCGTCTTGTTACTTACTCAATTATGCGAGCCCTATAATAAAGATGCACTTCTCTTTTATTTCCTCTCTCCTTTCTCTAATTTCTGTTCTTTCACTATCCCGTTAACTTATTATAGCAATCCCGTCGAGTATTAAATAAATTTAAGTAATTCTTAATTCACACAGCTATAATTATAAGCTGTTCTCAATTATAAGAAGTATTTCCTTAGCAATTAATCTCTTATTATATTTCTGGCTTTAAGCTACTAAGCAAATTGTTCCTTTATTATAGTAAACTCATATATTCTAATTTATCTAATAAATTATCTAAATAAGACACGAAGCTTTAAATACTATAATATAATTATTATTTTGCTTTCTTAAATTAAGTAATTATATTTATATTATAGTTTTCTGGGTTTGAAATAAAATCCTTTATAAACTTAATAAAAGTCTTTCAGTTTATAATATTAATACTTATTATATACTTCTTATAATTTTAAATATCTTTAGTTATATCTTTAAAACAAGAAGTATAATATATAACCTTTATTATATTTATAACTTAAATTATCCCGCTATTTTTATATTACTTTAGCTTTATTTAATAAAAAAAAGCTCTAAGCTTCTTTAATATTCTTTTTCTTATAAGTTAATAATTCTCTAATTCTTAGAGCTTTATAAATTAAAAGTATTACTTATAGTAAAATAAGTTCTTATTTAATTATTATAATTATATTATATGGCAACTATATATTAGTAATCGCATACAGGCTCACGTGACCACACTTACTATATTTAAGCTTTGGCTACTCGTACTATACCTCTTTTCTTCGAATCTATCTATATATTATTATTATAATATAATAACAACGTTTTATTATAACAAATTATAATAAGTATTCGAATATTTTTAAAATAATAAATTTAAGCTTTTAGTTTTTTTAAATATTTTTTTATTATATTTTTACTTTTAATTTAATAATATAAGATCGAGCTATTACTAACTTTTTATTAGTATTATTTTCTTATTTAATTTTAGTAATATTTATATTTTACTTCTTTTTTTAATTAAATAACCCTAAAAATATTTAATTAAATACTTCTAATAATAATAAAGTAATATATAAGTAATTAAAATAAATAAATTATAAAGTAATACTTATAAAAATAATTAATTTCAGGAAATAACTTTAATAAAGATTAATTAATACTTTCTTTTAAAGCTATATATATTCTTTATATACTTGCAATAATACTAGCTAGAGTTATATAAAATAAGCTATTATATAACTAGCTAATATTTTAATTATTTTAACTTATACTCTTTTCTTTATTTTCTTTTTATTATAATTAATATAATTATATAACTTGTTAGAAATAAAAATTAAAAAACAAATTCAAAATAAGAAACTAAGCTAGAGATATAAGTAAAGTATTATTAAAAATTAAAACATTTTCTTTTCTTTTATTTTTTAGCTTAATATTTTTAATATATGAGATTATTTAAACTTTAAGCCTTTAATTATTATATAATATTAAGCTTATTTAATTTAATTTATAAAAGCAATATAATAATATTAATAAAAGGCTTATATTTATTCTTAAAAAGTAAAAACGAAATATTTCTTTTAATATTTAATAACTTCCTTAAATTATAAAAAATTAGAAAGCTTAATTAAAAGTATAATATTTTTATAACTTAATTAATTTTAAAGTCTAGCCCTTAATTAAAGCAAATAATATATTCTTTTTAATAATTAGTTTTTTATTAATTTAAAGAAAAAAAAACTCTCGTTTTCTATAATTTAATTAATTTCGAAACCTGGCTCTTAATTAAAGCAAATAATATTACTTTAATAAATAATATTAATAAAAGTAAATAAACGAGTTTATTAGAAAAAGAATTAATTATAATTTACAAATTTAAAATTAAAAAAAACAATAATTAGTTTTAGTTTATTAACTTAAAACTAAATAAGATTATAATTAGTTATAATTTACTAATATTACATAAAGAAAACATATTTAATACTTATTCTTATAACTAATACTTTTCTTAAAGCTATTATAAATAACTTAAAACCAAGTATTATTATTATAAATCTCTATTATTAGAAAAGCTATTATAATATTATTCCAGAAAATAAATAAAATAAATAAAATAAATAATTTATTTAAGAACTAATAATTTTAGAAAGATTAATTAATAAAAACTATTTATATTAAGAAACTATTAGTTTACTAATAATATATAATATAATATATAAAGTTAGTAAAGTAATTAATATTTAAAAAATAAGAATTATAGTATTATAATATTAATATATAATTCCTAAATTTACTAAATTTAATAAAATATAATTTATTAATTAAATTATTTATAAAATGCGAGATTATATAATTATATTTTATTTTTTGAGTTTTATAATTATATATATAACTCCTAAAAAAATAGCTATATTAATATTAGAACTTTTCTAAAAACGCGAAAAATAGTATTTCTTTCTAATTATATACTAATTTTTTAATTTGGCCTAATACTAGATTTTCTCAAATACTTTATATATTTATATATATTTTCTTATCTTATATTTCTATCTTATATATTTATTTCTTATTTTATTTATATTTAACTCATTTTACTATATCTAATTATATTATATTTATATTAATTAAATACTTAAAAGTATTTAATAACTTTAATTTTATTATAGAATTAATAGAATTTAATTCTTTTTTAATTTATTTAATTTCTATAATCTTTTATTATTTCTATATCTAATAAAAATATATTATATTAATTATTAGATATTTCTTTTAAATAATACCTAATTTAATAAGGCATTTATATAATAACTTCGAATTTATATAAATAACTAATAATTATTTTATTAATTATAGATTTAACTAAAACACTTATATTAAAATAATAAGCTATATTATAAAGTTCTAAAGCTAAAATACTTCTAGTAATTCTTTTATATTTAATAAAGAACTAGTAAATAATATTAATATATTTAGTTTTATTTACTAGAACTAAAATATATTTAATTTAGGAAAAGAGATTTTTATTATTTATAAATAAAGTATTTATAAAAATAATTAAATATAAGAACTTCTTTATTAGCTTTACGAATTTTAGTTCTCTAGTAATATTCTTAATTTACTATTAAATATACTTATTAAGTACTTTTATATTAGTTTTCGAGGATTTAATAGCTTAAATAATAATTAATAAGTTATATAAAGCTTCTAGTTAATAAACTAATATAATATATACTTCTTTAGTATATTAGATAATATATTAGTTATTAATAAATAGTATTTCTATTACTTATAGGATTTCTATTACTTATAGTATTTCTATTACTTATAGTAATAATATTTTTTAGAGAAATAATTTAAAAGTTTTTATATTAGTATTTTTATAAAAGAGTAATTCTAGTAATATTTATATAAATAATACTTTTATTAAACTTGAAATTATAATTAAAAATAAAATATTTATATTTCTTAATTAAGAACTTAGTTTTTTAAAGCTTTAATTACTTTATTTTTATAAAATTATTAGTTTAAAGACTAATAATTTCGAAGAGTTATTTATTATAGAGAAAGCAGGAATTATAAATTAATATAATATATTTCTATTAGATATATAAATAATAAGAGATTATAGAAGTTAAATAAATTAAGAGAAAATCGAATTCTACTAATTCTATAATAAAATTAAAGCTAATAAATACCTTTAAATATCTAATTAATATAAATATTATATAATTAAATAGAGAGAAATAAATCGAATATAAATAAAATAGAAAATAGATATATAGAATAAGAAAATATTATAAAAAGAGAAGTTATATATAAAAGGCTATAGCCTTTAGTATATAACTAAAACTTTAGAAGTAATATAGATATATAGAATATTTGGGAAATCTAGTACTAGGCCGGATTAGGGAATTTATATATAATTAAAAGAAAGTACTATTTTTTGTATTTTTAAAAAGGTTCTAGTATTAGTATAACTATAATTATTAATAGTTATATAATATAGTTATATAATATAGAAATAATTAGAAGTAATAAAATATAAGTAATAAGTAATAATTATATAACCTTATATTATATAAGTAACTTGACTAGTAGCTAGTCTCTATTAGATTTAGTAGATTTAGGAATTATATATTAATATTATAATACTATAATTCTTATTTCTAAAGAATAATAACTTTATTAACTTATATAAATAGTATTTTATAAATATATAATAGTATTATATATTATTAGTAAACTAATAATTATAATTAGTTTATAGTAACTCTTTTTTTAAAAAAAAACGGCTTATTTAATATATAAATAGTATTTTAATATTTTAATAATTTAGATATATTAAATATCTAAGTTTTAATAGTTCTAATAAAGATCTCTTTTAAGAACTATTTATATTATTAGTATTATAATAATAGTTTAAATAATATCTTTTTATTTTCCTTATATACTATTTCGAATTCAGTTATTTATATAGCTAGAATCCGTAATATGTATTATTTATAACTAGTTATATTAATAATAAATTCAAGTAATAATATTTCCGGTATTATTTTATTATTAAAATAGATTTCCTTTTCGGAATTTCTTAATATTTTACTAATTAAAA